ATCAGCTCCTTCACTGTTATCATAACCCTCTGCAGGGTACATCATGGGATGTTCATCTTCTGTGGTGGAGCTCACAGCTTCTTCTGCCTGGCTGTTTGTTATTCCATCATTGACAGTGCTAGTGGTGTCTGCATCTATAGATTCTATTTCCTGTAAAAAGTGAAAGCAATGCTGTAATTAAAGGACTATTTCAGACAGAACTGCAAAGCATTATCAAATACTAAATGAAACTAAATGAAAATGAGAATCAAACTGAAATGTTCTTTAACTGTAATGTAATATTGTGCAAGTACATGCATCAAATTATTAATAAATTCCCAGTTCCTGGCTCTTTCAGTTTTCATAATATATCAGACATGATGACAGAAAAGGACTAAAGCAAAAATTTGTACACAAGCTACATGCATATGTTCATTTGTCCTTATCACATTTATATGGCTAAGAACTGTGAACTTTTACTGAGAGGAGAACCACGAACATGTCATTTGTTTCTCTTGTATATCACAAAGAAAAAAGCAAATGATGATTACATCTCAACATGACTGCATCTGTCCAAGAAGGTAACAACAAAGGCATAACAGGAATACTGAAGATACCAGCACATAGTTTGAGGCAACATGATAAGAATTAAAACAGTCATAAGATAAATACTTCAAAGGCACTCTGAAACAGAGAATTCCAAATGATTTACTTAATCTTAAATACACTCTTCCTGTGTCCCAAGTCTTACTTTAAAGAAGTCTGCCAGTTTGGCATCAATTTCCATGTGCTGTTCTGTTGATGATGGACTGGGTTGGGAAGATTCTTCACGGGAGTTTGTACCACCATTTCTATCATCTGCAAGTTCAAGATTTTCTTCGTCATCTGCCAGAGGAAGTAAACCACACAATTTTGAATTTTAAACCTTATTACCTTAAACCTTATTACCTTTGAGATAATTGAGCAAATCAATAACTTTAGATTGATAATAATTTCTCAAACAGTAATCAAAACAACCCTTTACAGCTTAAAAGAAATCTCTAGAACTTCTTTTAATTTTTCAAATATTTTTGCTGCTCTTACACGTGTTTCCCATTTTCTAATGATCCTTGATTCTGTAGAAAAGCTTTATTTCACTTCCCAGAGATAAATAAACAAAAGTACTCAACATTGCTGATTCTAGCAGCATGCAAGTCCTCTGTAGTTAAGCGCTATACGAGGGAACAAATCCAAACATCTGTAGTTCAACTCTTTGATGGAAACTTTGTCCGACTCTTGTGACTAAACAAACTAGCACATTCTCCTACAGTTGATGGCCTTGCACAAAGTTCTCTATCTATTTTATTCAAACTACAGCTAATAAATTTTAATTAGCATTGTTTTCTTCAAATTACCTTCATCATCGCTGTGATCACCATACGATCCAAGAAGCCCAATTCCTATATCATAAAATACAGCATTAATAATCACAAAACTGGAATTATAATGGAGTATATATGATAATAAAAGATAGCAACAACAATGAGGGATTTCTATGGTGCCGTATCCATTGGCATTTCAAAGGATTTTGGCCAGACTGCATTGAGTAGTTTACAAAATTTTTTGGAGGAAACTTTATGCAGTAGCATCCAAATTTCACAATTGAGACCAGACCACAACACCAGGAACTGCCTTCCCTACTTTATGCAGTAAGTGAGTGGGTTCTTTAACATCCCCTTCTGGCTAGTACAGAGAAGATGCAGGGGACAGGGCTTATGGTTTTTCAGCCTTATCTGAGAAGACTGGTATGTCTAACCATGTGCAGATGCCATAGCAAAGGCAGCACATTCTTCTTCGTTATTTTAAGACCCTGAGTGTTAACTGGGTCGGACACTTTAACTCTCCACCTCCCACATGGCAGTCCTGTGCTCTACAACATCAGCTAACCAGGCTGTGCTAACAATTTTATCTGCAGTTTCGCAAATGTTTTGTCCTACCGTACAAATCCATTATTTTATACTGTCAAATAAGCATCTCTCATAAGGAGACTAATGTAATAAACTTGTGAACAAATTAAACAACTTTGTTTATCTCTGGTTCAAAATTTGTCATCTTTCTTAATCTACATGTACACTGTCAGGATGTTTTTGCAAGTTCAGATCTTGGCAAGATCAGGGAACATGCAGAAATACTGTTATTTAAAAAAGTTTTGTATGAATATAGAAAATTGCCTGGTTGATAATGAGTTCAGCAAAGCTAATTTGACAGAGAATACATCAAATATTACCTGATATACTGTTTGGGTTAATTGCTCTTGTTAGACTACTTGTTGCAAGTCCTGTTTTCAAAAACAGAAGCAATAATTCATGGGTATTTGCATCATCTTATTTCTAATTAATACCATCATGGCAGGTTAAGTTCACCAGTTAAGCACTGGTCTTAATCAGTAACAGATTCAAAGGGCCACAATCCAAGCTACAACTGTTTTGGTCCACACAACCACTTGGTGCCCAAATTTGAAGAGTGAGGTCAATTTGGCAACATGTGTTTGGATGTCATGTCCAGTCTCAATGTTTTTTTTCCCCACAAAACTACTATCTCATTCTCCTTAGTTGCCTCAAAATTAATTCTTGTGATGATGCATAAACCTTCAAAAACAAATGTCAGCCATACTGCTTACTCCATCATACAATTGGCCCTTAAATCACCAGAAAAAATAACTGACTGGTAGTCATATTATGAGATCAACAGGACATTACAGGACTTACTGTACTTATTCAATTAAATGCCGTGGCATTTATTAAATTTTGTGTGATTCAAGTGCTGCGTTTATTTGAGGGTCGTGTTTATACAAGGGTAGCGTTTATTTAAAACCCAATTTATTTCTTGCAAATAATAGTGAATGGCAACTTACTATTTGAAATTAAAATACAGAAACACATTTTAATGCTTGTCTAAAAAGTCACTTTTTTTAAATCGTTCTCAATTTCACTATTTGCATGTTAATACTACATAACTGTAATACATAAAGTAAATAAAGATCTAATGTTGAATAGATAGGTACATTCAAGAGAATTTGTGTCTTGCTCACACAAAATTTCCAGCTATAATTGAAGCATTGATTGCTATGTGCTTTTTGTGTCTATCATTCAAATAAACACCATACATGATGCAGCATTTATTCAAGGGCGGTGTTTATTAATACTTCTGCTCTAAAATGCATTTAATCGAATAAATACAGTAATCCTTGTATGTTCAAGGACCCTTACTGAGCACACTAGCAGTTGAAAGGGTCATTGTGGTTCCCTTCAAATCATCAACCTTTTACCCCTTTGAGTGACAAGCATCTAATTTCTCCCTAAAATATCACCCTGAATAATACATTAGGGTCAAGAGAATGAAGGAAATGATCACCAACTACAGAAGCTTTTGATA